TATTATTATTAATTGTTAATATTCTTATTATTTTCAGTACTTTGAACATAAAGAGTCTGATGTGATTTTCTGTAAGATAAAGAAAGCTTACGCCTTACAGGCGTTGTGGGTATTCAAAAACTAATAAAGATATGTAAAAAAAATATTCAATGATATCTCTCAAGCTGCCAGCTTGTAGTCTTTTTTCTCAATTTTAGAACAAGTTTTACGGCACTGGCAACTTAATTGTTAGGTCATATAAATATGAGTTCGTTTTACTCACCAATATCTCCAGAAAAAATAAAGATTTGACGTATGAGAACACAGTTGTCCTATAGGCAAGCAGGTATTTATGATAAACTAGGGAAATTTCTTTTTTCAAAAGTCAATAATGCAGCGTGCTTATTCAGTAGACATGCCAATTTCTAAGAGTTGAATAGTTTATGGACATTATAATATTATGGTTGTAGAATACGCATACACATTTGCACTGAGGTACATCAACTGCGGATGGTGTTGTTTATGCTCCAATTTTAAACACAATTCAAAATGGTAGTCTGTAAATTTGCATATTTCCAAGCTGATATCGTGAATTTTTATCGATTGAGACTTACAAAATATCCACCTGATACGGTAACATGTGGTATCAATAATTTATTACATGAGTTGTGGTGTAAGATCATGATTTATCCTACGAGTGAAATTGCCAAGTTGTAATCACGAGTTTCAACGAGTCTTTAGGCCATTCACAAAGGGAGGAGATTATCATGTTCTCATGCACAATAGAATTGTAAATAGGCTGATTTATCAATGTCATGCTCATACTGTGCCAGAACAACAGAGAGGGAACTGTTGCTTTTTCTTTCCTCATCCTTATTATTGTCATTTGCCCTCTACTTTTTTGTGTGTGTTTGTCACTCTCTTATGAACTGCTATTTCCGGGGTGCCTTGTTAGTGGAAGCGGACTTTGTGCTATTGAGGCCTGGCAGGTGAGTAGAGTAAGCCTGATTCCTCGTTTGGACTTCTCTGTTGACATCCACCCTTGGCGCAGTTGCGAGCGCTGTAAAACCCTACTATTTTTAAAAAAGAAATAACCTAGATAAGTGGCACCGTTTTTGTGTGTATGTGTGTGTGTGTGT